AACTTCTTTGTCTCCTTGATAGATTTACCTGTTACAACCCCTCTTAACTGACTAGAAAGGTAACATGCTTTGGTTAGGATGGAACCCAAAAACAAATCTGATGCTTGAGATAGCAACTTCTTTGTCTCCTTGATAGATTTACTTCAGCAGGATACAGCTACATGGTCAAATTCAGTCAGCCTAGATTGTATTTTCTCTTAATTCCTTGCCCCAAAAATTCCTATTGCTTCACCAAACAGTATCGATGCAGAAGAGAGGGACAGGCCTAATCCTGAACCAAGCATGTATCCACATGAATTAAGTTTTTTCTCGTCACCTGAAGCAGGCTCATTCCCTATTGATCACAGAGATGATTGAATGGAGCGCACGACGATTACGACCATAAACAGTAAAAAGATATACGTCAATAAGTGGAAGGGGTGAAAAATTAAGCAAAGCATAGGGGCCATAAAAAATCACCTCCATTCAATTTTCTTGTCCGTGGGCATACAGCACACTATATCCGTAAGTCTTAGAGAAATTTGACACAAGACTGACCTCTCATTCTATTCCCGCGTATTCTGATTTTTGTTTATGCATATTCCAAAGGGCATGTCAATTGAGACATCGGCACACATAATCAGAAGATGATGGTGTCAAACTTTTCTGAGCACAGCCTTAAGGTGGGGCTGAAGACTGGTCAAGGCGGTGGCCATTTCCACAACATAAGACAATTCCCCATCGACCAGCTTGAACACTCGAGTGATGTCTTTCACCTGGCAACAAGAAGAAAGAGGTCAGCAGTAGTTGTGACAAAATTAGGTTGTTCCTAGCAACGGCGGCGGGGGGAGCAGCAGTTCAGTATTTAAAGATCATCGATGCTACGAGTCCAATAGCAACGAAACAAACATTTCGAAAAAAGTTCCATTTTCAGAGAGGACATCCACCTCGTATTCGGTCCAAACAAACCAAACAGGAAAAGGGAGAGTAGCCAGACCAGGATTTACACATATGAGAAGGAGGAATAGGGGGATTATAAGGAAAAAGAGAATCTAAAGTCTTAACCTTGGAAGCGTTCCCCACAAGATCACTCTTAAGGCAGATGACTTTCTGGTCCGCGTCGAAGGTCCCCTTCTGCAATGATAGGATGAATAAAAAGGGGAAGAAAGATTGGAGCAAGAAGCAGAGAAGGGAAGGGAAGGGGTGGGGAGGGAAAGAGAACCTGGACTTCAACGAGGCCGGTGCTCTGAGCAAGGACAACCTCGAGAGAGCCGTCGAGCTTGGGGCGCCAGAAGCCGGACTCGGAATGCATGGGGAGGGAGGTGATGGGGTTCCAGGTCCGCTGGGAGTAGGTAAGGACGGGCTTGCGAGGGTCGGGATGACAGAAGGTGAGCTCCTCCGTGTAGGCGAAGGAGTCGATGGTGGGATACACGCCTCGCCCTTCCCCTCTCCACGTCCCCACCAGGTACCCAATCCCTTCCACTGCTCCATGCATCATTCTTCTTCTTCTTCGCCTTCTTCCTCCTCCGCCTCCTGTAGGCTGCCCCTGTCTGGTTTTCTCCGCTGTCCTTGGCTCGCTCGCACGCTCGCTGCTCAGTCGTCTCTCTCTCTCTCTCTCTCTCGATGTGTTCACCTCTTGGATTCCGTCGCCTTCATCGGACCTTAGGAGAGTTAGGGACCATGACCTTCGGGCTTTCTTTTGGGCCCGATGACTACTGGGCTCCATCAACAACTTCTTCTCTCTTCCAAAAATCCAGTTAATTTCCTCAACTCGAGTTTAATATTCATATATTCCGTTATTTTCATTTTGATCCCTGAATTTGCGCATCAAGCCCTTCCATTTGTCTTATCGATTCCTTTTAACTTGCATATCCCCTCTAACCATTCCCTCGGATTTCGATTTCGATTAATCAAAACTTGACGTGCCTACGATGGCTGGCAAAATCATGACATGAAAAAACTTATCTCCGTTAATGCACATGACTGAAAACCTCGAGATCAAAATGATAGCCGAACTTTTAATAAGACATTTCTCTGCACAAACGCGATGCTCGGGCTTCTCCATATTAGACTTTTGCAAGTCCCAATTGATCCGTCGATATAGTTGAAAGAAGGGTTCTTATTTTTATGGAACTCTCTGGTCTTTGTCTTTCCTAAAGTACTAATTGAGTCAAATAATAAAAAGAAAGATGGAGATGAAAATTATTACAAAGTTGTTCAAATACAATGATTTATAATTAATTAACACAATGATCATTTATTTTTACTAATCCCCTATATTTCTTTCATATAGATGTGAGATAATACTGTTTGCTGTGGATAAAATACATTCAATGAATGAAAGTATTTGTATGAAATATAAATAAATAGATAATTTCTTGAAATCAAGTGTTGAGAGTATGTTTATAATATCTTGTCACGTATTATGCATTTACAGGATTTATGGCGTACGAATCGAGGAAAGTGTTCAGTGTTCATCAATAAGCATTATCCATAACACTGTTTGAAAAGTATTCGAAACGATAAAAAAAAGGGAAAATGCCACCAAAAACTCCAAACTTTACTCTCTGTGACACATTTACTCCGAACTTTTTTTTGTGACACCAAAAACCCCAAACTTTCCTATTTGTGACACATTTACCCCAATGTACACTGTCCATAGGCATTTTCGTCTTTTCCGCTTTTTCTTTTTTTTTTTCCTTTCCGGCGAGGGGGCCCTCGTCGGCGTCGGGCGAGGCTCGCCCTTGCCGGCCCAGGCGAGGGCGAGCCTCGCCCGACGCCGGCGAGGGCGAGCCTCGCCCTTGCCGGCAAGGAAAAAAAAGAAAAAAAAAAAAGAAAAAGCGGAAAAGATGAAAATGCCCATGGAGAATGTACGTTGGGGTAAATGTGTCACAAATAGAAAAGTTTGGGGTTTTGTGTCACAAAAAAAGTTCCAGTAAATGTGTCACAAATAGAAAGTTTGGGGTTTTTGGTGTCACAAAAAAAAGTTCGGGGTAAATATGTCATAAAGGGTAAAGTTTGGGGTTTTTTATGGCATTTTCCCTAAAAAGAATGGCAAAGCTCGCACATGAGCTGAGGCTACCGTTGATGGCGTGTGCGACGGTGATTGAAAATGCCAAATGTCTATCCACGTATGGTTGGGTGTATAGTGGGGGAGGGTATAGCTCGGTGGTGGTGCGTGGGAATGGAAACTGGAATGGAAGGATGGCAAACCCACCAATCTGATCTGACAAGACGATCAAGCGGCCATGTGTCCCTGTTTATTTATACCTGGAAGACCCCTTTGACCATTTCCTAAAACAACGTCGTGACAACCTCCTTGCTCTTTTCCATCTCCCTCTCTCTGCCATTTATTCTTCGGATTTGTCAAATTTTAGCGTTCTCTCTCTCTCTCTCTCTCTCTCTCTCTCTCTCTCTCTCTCCTCACCTTCCAACAATGTCTGGTGTTCTCCTTGATCATTGAAAGCCCAGGATGATCCTCCTCGATGAAACCATTCAGGGAACTTGCATTAGAAACAGCTCATGGACGATAAACATGCACCCGATATTGTCCTTTCGGTTACGACCCAACTTCCCTCTCTTCCAATAATCCATACCTCCGCAAAATTTGACCCTCGGTTTGCCCCCCAGAATCATCATGTTATTTGGGTCTGCGTGTTTGTGTCTGTCGAGATTGAGAAACATAGAGATGTTGGAGCCAGTTCGTTCCTCCAAAAGCCTTTCTATTCATTGGTCAGTGTTTCCCACACGCTTCCTTCATTGGTTTTGTTATTGCCCTGCACTCTGCATCATAGGCTAGTTTTGGAACATGATATACGTGCTTAAGTATTTTATATGCGGCAGGCCTGTATCAGCATTCATGGATTATCTTAATTGGACAAAGTTTGCCCGACTCCCATGTCCCTAAAATGCATCAATAGACGTGCCTGCCACCCAATTTTCCCCGTTGATGGAGACATCTGTAGATGTTGGTCTCTCCTTTATTTGAGAGAGAGATGTATCAAATGAATTTTCATTTGATACCATGGCAAATACAAGTCGTAGTTTGCAATTTCAATCATTCCCGGGATAATGATCAGAAGCTTCCTTTTTCTTTTTTTCGAAGATGAAGAACATGTGAATTCATCTAACGAAAACCTGCCCGGATGGTTATTCCTCAAGTGAATTCGACATCGTTTCAGCATAAGTTCACATGCTATGTTTTTCATCCTTTTGGTGCAGAAACGTTGTGATGGGTAGAGTTTCGATCTCCAGATTCCTGTCGGTGCATGAATCGTAAAAAGGTGAGGCATACCTGATTTCCTAATCTGATTTCGATCCACTTTGTTCCAAATTAATATGAATTGTACTGATCATATCTCTAAAGATGAATGTGCATTCTATATGATTGATAAGGAGCGCACACAAGCCAAGTAAACCTGAAGTTATGGACTCAATCCCCAAGAACAATACAAGCCTATGTTATGACATGCCAGGCTATCCCAGAAAGCCAGATCAAACAGCCAGAGATGTCTCCGAGTCTACCCCTGATTCACCTGCTATACCTGCAAATTCTGATCCATTTCCCAAAAATTGTGAAGTTGGATTGAGAAAAGTCGAACAGGATACCAAGAACAATACTACTGTTGATGGATCGCCTATTTGCCGGCAGCAGATTCCAGGCCTAACAAGAACACATGCCAATAATCATAACCACAATGAAATTCCAACAGCTTCATCAGCAGCGATATTGACAAGTAGACCACTCACAACAACGACGCTGCAACCGCAACCAAATACAAAGAACTACAATAGCCAGCAGGGATCAAGCCGTAGCAACAGCTTGGAGAGCTCGGGTGCGATGCTGAGGCCCCACACAGGTGGGGATGTTCGATGGGAGGCCATCAATATGTTGCCCAAGGGAGGTCCCAAACTTGGCATGAGCAACTTTCGGCTCCTGAAACGCATAGGATATGGGGACATAGGGAGCGTGTATCTCGTGGAGCTCCGAGGAACCAACACTCACTTTGCCATGAAAGTGATGGACAAGTCATCCCTTGCCAGCAGAAACAAACTCCAGCGAGCTCAGACTGAAAGGGAGATACTCGGGCTCCTCGACCACCCATTCCTGCCCACGCTTTATTCTTACTTCGAGACCGAAAAGTTCTATTGCTTGGTCATGGAGTTCTGCAGCGGAGGAAATCTGCATTCCCTCCGTCAAAAGCAACAAAACAAGCATTTCACCGAAGAAGCTGCGAGGTTCAGTACATTTCTTTCTAAATACTTCCCTTCATTCAAGTTAATTAACCAGCTGTGTGACTAGATGCTGCTTCCTTTTCTCCAAATTTTATCTTTAATTCAACAACCAGTGCTTTCCATTCTGTGATAGATCATCAATTTATCAGATCTCCATGGGCGAGCACCTAATGAATTACTCATAATAAACATCTTAATTTCAGGATAGCAATCCATCTTTTCTCTAAACTGTGATAAACCAAATAGATAGATTAAGGTTTTGTGGCTCAGAAGATCTGCTGTACCTTAGGATGATGGAACTTTGAAGGGTGATCAATGGACCACAGCATACTTCTAAAGTTAGTGATCTCTGTCAATCGATTAACTGGTTAACTTTAACAGGTTTTATGCATCGGAGGTGCTGTTGGCGCTGGAGTACCTGCACATGCTAGGTATTGTATACAGGGATCTGAAGCCAGAGAACGTGCTGGTGAGAGACGAAGGGCATATAATGCTTTCAGACTTCGACTTATCACTACGGTGCTCGGTCAGCCCAACACTAGTAAAGTCCTCCTCAGTACATGTAGGCGGCAGCAGCAGCAGCAGCACTGGTTTTTCGTCTGGGGCCATTTTGGACGAGGAGTACACGGTGCATGGTTGCATGCAGCCATCCAACTTTTTGCCACGGATATTGCCCGGGAAGAAGAACCGCAAATCTAAATCAGACTTTGGGGTGATGATGGGTGGAGGAGGGCTGCAGTCCCAATTGCCCGAGCTGATGGCGGAGCCAACCAACGTGAGGTCCATGTCCTTCGTGGGGACCCATGAGTATCTGGCTCCGGAGATCATCCGTGGAGAAGGACATGGTAGTGCGGTGGATTGGTGGACGTTCGGCATATTCTTGTATGAGCTGCTGCATGGCACCACTCCTTTCAAGGGTTCGGGCAACCGTGCCACTCTCTTCAACGTGGTCGGGCAACCCTTGAGATTCCCAGATACCCCACAAGTGAGTTTCATGGCACGGGACTTGATACGAGGCCTCCTAGTCAAGGAGCCCCACAAACGCATTGCCTACAAGAGAGGTGCCACTGAGATCAAGCAGCACCCATTCTTCGAGGGAGTGAATTGGGCCCTGGTGAGGAGTGCGGTCCCGCCCCATATACCTGATCCCGTTGACTTCTCCCAGTTTGCTACAAAAGATCCAAAGGTAGAACACGCCAACAAGAAGACGATTACTGATAATAATGCTACTCATTATCAGAAAGACATCGATCCTAGTGACTCTTCTTACATAGAATTCGAGTACTTCTAACAATCATGGACAAATTTATCACCGACGTTTGATGTATACATGAATAGAGCTAAAGATTTAGCAGTTTGAGCGCCGTGGCATCTCTCTCTCTCTCTCTCTCTCTCTCTCTCTCGCACTAGGAGGAAGGTGCGAGGGTGAATCGGGATGAGTCACCAATGCACTTTGCTTTGTAGCTAGTGAAAGCAAAGATACCATGTTCCCCTGGTCATGTGATATGTTTAACTTATGCTGTTTGGGATTTGAATGGCTCAGTTCAGTTGCCCCCAACTGCAGGGAACTGCTGACCTATGGACAGCGGTGTGTGGCCGTAGATGTCCTACCTAGTGGAAATTTTCTGGTCGTGTTACGGGAAAGGAGGTCTAATAACAACTTGAGGTGATGTCTTGGGTAGAATTTTGCAGAAATAGGCTGCATATGCCTCTAACATCAAGTGTTGACGGTGCAAAATCCTTCCACTTTGGAAAATGGTTATCTTTATCAACAACCCCGAGGGGTCGCTTGAGGCCTTTCTGTTGTTACCCGAGGATCTTGACCTGAGAATAATTATGGCAGCTTATGAGTTCAGTTCATGTAGCTTTCTTTTTGGAAGGCTTCTTTTATCCGATAATCCAGGGTTGTATAATGTAAGGGTGATCAGTTTCATAGAGTCGATTTCTACCCTAAAACTTGTAACCTGCTCGATCAGGATCAGTTCTCAATTTATAGAACTGCGAATCGATCTTGTTGACACTGTAACGGGCCTGCAGCTAGACTGACAAATTCCGAGCCAGTTTCAGGATCAATCAGGGAATGAGCTAGTGTGTTTTTCTTTATTGCAATAGTGACGTTACTTGGATTTGCAAGGCACTCATTTGATGCTCTTGTTGATGGTACTGAGAAAAGCATTATACAAGCTCCTGAACATCTTCGGCCACGGAGTGTTTTTTGTCAATAGAAGTGATGAACTTCTCTTCTTTATCCCATCTTTCACTACGTGCCACGGCTATCCATCCATGTTGCCAGTGATTCCTAAGATAGAGATAAAAATAAGTTTTTCTTCTTCTTTAGGGAAAAAGCCACTAAAAATTCTGAATTTTTTTTATGATAATCAAAAACCTCAACCTATACTTACTGTGACACATTTACCCTAAACTTTTTCGTGTGACATAAAGAATCTCAAACTTGTACCGATCTTACATATTTACCTTCCGTTAGATGATTTTTCAGTCAAAATAACGTAGTTTTTAATTCACTTAAGCCACGTGGGTGTCATGTCAATATCATTTGCTTTCCGGCATCCATGTAGATAGATTTTTAACGGGGCTCATTGACGGAGGGTAAATGTACCACATAGGTACAACTTTATGATTTTTGGTATCACGGAAAAAAAGTTTAGGGTAAATATGTTACGGTGGTCATAATTTGCGATTTTTGCTCTTTTCTTTAAGACAAGTGAATGTGTGTTAAATATGTATTAGCTGCACCGCCAAATCACCCAGGGCTTGAATTGCCGATTCAACAAACAAAAGACTCCAAGCGTGCGGGCACTCCTTACCAACACCTATGCTATGCACTATGCACCCTTCATCATCTCTTACAAAAGCTCGTCGAGAACATCAGAGAGGTCCGATTCTACGCTAGACCGCCGGTTTCAAGATGGCGCCTACATCTCATATAGGATCAGCTACAGGGGATGCACATGCTATTATACCATAGCAATACTACCATCCCACGGTAGGTGAATTACAGTAGTACAGAAAAGCAAAATGTGGGAAAAGAGATTGATCTTTGTGGCCTCTCCAGCGCGGCGCGTGGGGACGAAGACGGGATCAGGGGGGCGCACCCAACAACACTTGGAGAGTCTAATAAATCGATCGAGTGAAGTAGTTAGATGACTTCAAATGGCGGGGAGGTGGTGGAACTCGACCATGGGGTGGTACGCCTGCCCCTGCGCCTCTCCCTCTCCCTCTCCCTCTCCCTCTCGTAACTCGGTCGTCCGCCTCAATCTCGGATTCCAAGATATCGCCGAAATCGCCCACAACAAAGTGAGCCTGACTGACTGACCCTTCTCTCTCTCTCTCCTCTCTTCTCTTTTCTCTGTAGGGTGGGTGGGTGGGTAATCTGATCGGTGGGGCTACTGGGACTTTGTGGTAGGTGCTCATCTCAGCTGGTGTATCGGCGGCCATCGGGCAGCTGTCCAAGCCCTTCACGTCGCCGGAGGGAGATGCCAGGAAATTCGATTTCAGCGCCGCCATTCGTTCCGGTGGTTTCCCTTCCACCCACTCCGCCGTGAGTCCCCTTTCCCTTTCCCTTCTGTGTGTGTTGCGTCCACTGCCCCTCCTCATTCCATCTTTTAATTGTCTTCCGTAGGCAGTTGTGGCTACCGCTACCTCCCTTTCTTTCGAGAGGTAACCCACTTTTTTCTATTCAGATTCTCTCAGATATATCATGTTTGAACGCTTTTCCCTAAAATGCTAACTAGAGCGTTGTATGACAACACTTTCCTATCTCCTTTGCTCTCAACATGATTTGGGTATGGACCGTCTGGATAGATTAGTTGATGTCTTGATCTTGAGGGAATGTGCAGCATGCGTCTTTTCTTCTCGGGCGTTTTCTGCTTTGGTTTCTCTTAGCCTCTCCATCTCGTTCATCTCTGCTGGTCTTCCAATTGGTTGAGAGGACTGTGCATCTCCCCTATCTGCCCTTATTGCTACCATGTGGGGTTTTCATTTAATAAGGACCTCCTAAACTCGTGAGCCATGTATTAAGAGTGTTTCTATAGAGATACACTTCAATTCCCAAGAATCCCCACGCCCCTCTATATGACTCCAGAGGCACTAGAGAGAACTAATGGACTTCTTCCCCCCAAGTCTTCATGATTCCTCCTGAATTAGTCTCTTCTACCTTCCCTTGTGGCAGGGGATTCTCAGATTCAATTTTTGGACTCTCGGTTGTGTATGCTGCACTTGTCATGTATGATTCCCAGGTAATCTTCTTGTTTTTTTTTTTTTCACATTGTTCTTGCTTTTGTGGGTTCTGATTTCTTCTTATCCTTCCAGATTGATGTTTGAAAGCGGGCAGATACCTCTGTTTTTTTTTGGGTTCATGATGAAAAGAATACCTCCTTTTGTTAGTTCTCCGAGGATTTATAATAAGAAGAATTGAGGATGCATGGCATTTGGTAGCAAACCGTATTTCGGTCCTTGGTTCAAGTTTAGACTGTCACTTGGGAGGTGGCTTATTATGCTTTTTTGAAGATTACCATCTTGTATGTATTTTCGTCATGTATTTTATGAAGGTAAGCAACCTTCAGTTTTGGGCCACAAAGAAAATCATTACCTCATCTTCCTTCGTTAATGTGGTTTATCCCTTGATGGCTGAAAGGTTGAGAGGAATTGTCACCATATAGTTGTAGCTTCTTTCTGCTCCCACTTCTTGCACCAACTGAAGTTTATTTGTCTTCATATTTTCACTTACCTCAGTGGTCTCCTTAAGAGGATTGCCTAGTCTGGTTTGGTTTTCTCCAGCCTTTTCTTCTTTTTAACTCTATTTGGTGGCACTATCTTCCATCTTGAAATACATTACATGATCATGTGCTTAACATCTTTGATTGCTAATCATGGGCTGACTCCTTCGTCTGTTTAAAAGACCAATCATCCCTCATATGAAACTTCTCTACAGTTAATTAGCTTAGTAGCTGAAGATTGATCTCTTCATTGGTCTTCATATCAGAAGCCTTAGCAATCAGGGATAAGCACCTCGTCACCTCCTTTCCGTGTCCTAGCAGACAGAGAGGTGATGTTGGACGATGTGATCAGATGCTATTCAGGTCTGTAAGTACTTGGCTAGGAACAAAACCGGTGAACTGTACCCCTAAGAAGTATCTCTGAGCAGTAGCTTGGGACTTAGGCTGAAAAAATGTAGCCAAGGAATTGAAGGATATTCAAAGAAAAGGTTAAAAATCTCTATCCGTTGGACAAAAGCTTTCAAACTTAGGGTTGCTTATGCATCACGCCTGAGAGAGAAATTCCAACACGTAACTCAATAACAAAAAGTTGTTAAATATTGGAATTTTAATGATTCAACCAATGAGTTATTTGTATGAAATGCAAGTATTTAAAAACTCTTATCAATCCTAATCCAAGTTAAAGTAGAAAAGTCTTAAGTAGGAAGCCTAATCCTAATTCAAATACTATTGCCCCAATTCTCGAAGCTTGCCAGTTTTTCATTCATCAGCCCTTATTATAAATACTAGCTGCATTCCCCTCTTCAATACCTAATAAGAGGAATATAATGGGTGGCCCTGGAATTGCATTTATCAAATTTTCACTTGATGAAAGATTTTAGTATTCTAATTGTTGTGACATACCACCTTCTTCTTTTTTTATGAGAATATCACTTGCAATTTTGATGCTGTTCTTAATGATTCTCCCCTACACCTGAGCAGAATTCACTGTGCTACTCTACATCCAGACAACAAGCAGATAGGAAGTCTGTCGCTATGTGCAGTTCTATTTCTGTCCCACCATCTTCTATGAGCACTTCTTTTCCACATTAGCCTTGTCTATAATTTAGAGATTATCTCTGCCCTGTAATTATTAGTTCAGCCATAATGGACATCATATGTCATAACTCATTTATCGGCCAAAAATAAAAACTGCCATCATTGGTTGTTAAAAAGGGCGGGAATTAATAGCAACTTGGGCGTATATTATAGCTTTATATGTTAGTCTCTTGGACTAACCCCCTCAAAAGCATGCTGCAGAAACAACATCCTGTCTTAAACCAAAGTCAGTGAATTTGAGAATACTTGTCTGCCAGTGGACACAGATTCAATATGAAGTCAAATTTCATGATTTGTCTGCTAAAAATATTTTTCAGTTCCCTCTTGTGGTTGTCTTGGTGTTGAGTTGCCACGAATTGATATAAGACTATAGAGAGGAATCAGAGGATTAGACTCACAGGATGCTTTAGATTTAGAACATTGAAGGATTTTGGAACCCCGATAAATGTCGGAGTTGTCCAACTCTTGTCAATCTTAGTCTTGTTGCCTTTATATATGCTGTATGACGTAATGGTTTTAGAGGGCTGGCCTTTCAATATGATAAAGCTCAACCTGTTCGTGTTCTAAGCCCTTTTAGGGTTTCATGACATTTGACAATCTATGACGAGGAAGTAGGAGGCACTGCTATTACATTAGACCAGTGACCCACTTGAAGAATTATTAGTCGTGTTTCCTTGTTAGTCACGTTTCTCTGTAAAGGCTTTGGATAATGATTCTTCCATCGATTGTTTTTGGTAGAATTGTAATCAGCTGCTTACATTGTAGCAATGCAGCTCAATTATTATTTGGTTTGGTTGGCTGAATTGGGGCATCTTCCGCCGGATTTTCTCGTGGTGTACGTGCAGGGCGTAAGAAGAGAAGTGGGGAAACATGCCAGGATGATGAATGAAGCTCTGCTGCAGAAAGCACGGGTGAAAGCTCCATCCGCGGAGAGCAACAGAGTGGGAAAGTCATCTTCGTCACCCTTGAATTTGGGTCAAAGCGGCCGGTTTCCGATGGATGGAACTGAAAGGGGCTCCTTTAACTTAAAAGTCACAACTACCCCATTGATGCTCAGAGCAGACGACACAGAGGAGACAGAATTGCAGTCAGGAATGGGTGACGATGGGGACAATAAACCTGGTATAGACGGAGAGAGTGGAATGAGGCTGAAAGAATCGGTTGGGCACACAGAGGTGGAAGTTTTAGCCGGTGCTATATTGGGCTTCGTGGTCAGCATGGTTGCAAATACCTTGATGTAGTAGTTCTTCCTACAATACCTGTATTCTTTCTGTCCTTCCTCCTTGAGTATGGAATGGAAACGTTCCTTCAATTCATCATTCTTCTTAGTGACTGCAAAACAATTGCGGGAATGATACGATCAACTCATTAGGCAACCGTTTTCTGGTGATGGCAAGGTAGCCTGCGGGCCCTGTAATGATACACTGGCTTGAAATGCGTGGGTTCTCAGGTTGGTGTGGTCTATATACGAGTGCTTGGACATAGTCCCTCTTTTCTGTCCAGAGCCCGCCGTCAATGGACCTACTTTCCTTGCTTGTGGACCAGCAGCAAAGCTAATCTTCGTTCAAAAAATAAAAAAAAACGATAAGATTAACGAACAAAGAAATTCCTTTCGTTTGGCTTCTCCATTTTCAAAGAACAAGCCATATAGATGACGTTATAGAACAACGAACTTCCCCCTTCCTCAGGCAGGCGGGTTTAAATCAGGCAAGGGCCCACTTAAGTGCAGGAGACATACTGTAGCGGGCCCAGCCAGCCGGGAAAGCCATCACTAATCCTTTATCCCAATTCAAACCGTGAGTTAGTGACGCGGCGGTGGATGAGGTGATGAGCTGCCGGGATGGGGAGGCACGTGGTTGCAATTTGGAGTGCGTTTGATAACCATTTTGTTTCCGAAAATAATTTTTATTCATAAATGATTCTTTTTTATTCCGTGCTAGAAAAAAATTCCTAAGCATTTGAAAGTGTTTGGTAACTGTCCAAAATTTTTATTTTTGAAATAGAAAAAAAAAACAGAAATGTGTTTGATAACTACACAAAATTTCTTTTTATTAATAATATTATAATAATAATTTGAATTTTTTAATATTTCTTTCTTTTTTTTTTTCTTCCTTGGCTATGGCCAGGTCGCCGGCACCGGCAAGGGTCACCCTCACCACCGCCCTCGCCAGATCCGACGAGGGCTGCTCGTGGCTTGGGCGAGTGCCGCCCTCAGCGGATCTGGCAAGGGCAGCAGCGAGGGTCACCCATGCCAGATCGGGCGAGGGCCACGACGCCCTCGCCAGCCCTGGCCGATGGCCGACCGCCGGCAATCGGCCATAGGCCAGGAAAAAGAAGAAGAAGAAAAACAAGAAGAAAAAAATTTTCTTTTCCATTTCTGATTCTTGTTTTCAGAATCAAGAAACAACTTTTTTTTCTTTTTGATTCTATTCCAAAACTGATTCTGGGAACAAAGTTTTGCAAATTTGTGCCCGGGAACAAAAAATTTATGAAACGGATTTCTGTTCCAAAACTGATTCTGGGAACAAAAAAATAAAAATAGTTACTATTTGACCAGTTGCCAAACGCGCCTTGGCTTCCACGTGGACAACTCCTCTTCTCCGTTTCTTCCTATTTTAGTTCAGATCTGCCGTGAGAGAAGAAGAAGAAGAGAGAAGGATAATCTCTAGGAAGCAAAAATGTCAGGAGCGCGGGGGGGCAGAGCCCAAGCAGTCGAAGACGGCGACGACGTACGAGTCGGTGGAGGGAGGGGCGAACAGGACGAGGACGGACGCACGCACCCCTCAGGACCAGGGGGGCATTCAGGTGGACATGCTCCAGGAGAAGGTCCCCGATGCCACCGGGCACGGCGGCCCCGTCTTCGGTGCTGCCGCCGCTGGTAAAACCAAGGATGAGGAGTCGGAGGACAAGCGGAAGCTCGACTTGGGCGTCACTGGCACCGGATGATGTTAAGAATCACGCAAAACTCTCTTAGCTTTGTAGATGTAGCTCTCTCTCTCTCTCTCTCTCTCTCTCTCTCTCTCTCTCTCTCTCTCTCTAGTTCTCGCCGTCTATTATATCTCCACCGGGTCGGTATGCATGTATCCAATATATTCCAAGAAAGAAACTACAAAAAAAAGGAAACAAAAGAGGGAGAAGTAAAGGGGGTAGTGTAGTGTAGGCAATTTGATGTTGTCTCCTTTTGATTTCCTTTCCGCTCCACTGCCACACGTACCCTGATCATTTGTGCTTTCTTTCAATGTAATCGCTTTGAATCAACAATAAGGTCATCATTATCTCTCGAATAATCTTAAAGTGGTACTCAGGCTTTGTTTAACGCTAATCTCACCTTGCCATGTGGCAAGCGCCATGTCATTAGGTAAGTTCACAGAGCAATCAATAAGATATGGTGGGCTTGTCAAGTCCAGCAAAACTTCAATTTGTTAACGACCCCAAAACTCCGGAAGAAGACAAATACTGAATTGCGAGATCCTTTTAACCCAGACATAGTATTTCTTTGACAACATAATCCACGAACATCAATTCCATGTTCACCCCTGCTAAACAAAAGCCTAACCTCAATCCAGAATTCCTCAAAACTACTCCGAAAACCATAAAGTTATTCATTATGCGCGAATGATGTATTGAAGTGATAGAGATCCACCAAATTAACAAAAAACGAGAGCCAAATCAAGACTATTCCTCGCGTTCTACATTTGAATCTTTTCTTCTCTCTTTGGAATAACTATTAATCTACATCCACCATAAACTAGAATATCATACCAACTTTCCAAAACTCTATTATCTTTAATTTAAAAACTCCAATTGTCATCCAATAACATCTTCTGTCCCTCGACAATCCCGACAAAATGAGAAATTCGATTTCCTGTCATGGAGTAGTCCCTCTCAAATCACGGACAATCAAATCCAAAGGAAAACCCTGTAGTCAAATCTTCAATATAAGCATCACATAGCAACTCGAAATTAACACAACAACCAACGATGCATGACTTCCTCCTTTTCTTACTTCCATAGAGATGGAAACCTTATATTCGACATGTAAGAGATGGAAACCTTAGTCTTCTTCTATTCGACATGTAAGAGATGGAAACCTTTATGATTCATATATATCTGAGTATGCATATTTAGCTCAAATAAATGCGGGGTGTTACATAATTCTCGACCCTTATATTTCAACTAGATTTTCACACAACGCTACCACATGTACCGCATTAGATTTCATTTGGACCATGCTCCATGGGAGCCCTTATCTTTGAAACTGACAATATCTGGATGAAGTCATCTTCAAACAGGCCTATACGAGCACCGACAGTGGGTGGCACGGGGCATATTAGTCAACAGATGAACTGTCCAAAGGAAAGTGATTAAGGATTTTATTCTACTTTTGCTGAGTTTTGTTTCCGCGAAATTTCAAGTTTGGTCAACAAAAATTGTGCAACTATGTCGGTTCTCCCGGTTACGGGGGGTCAAAGGATCAATCATCAACCAAATTGAAATTAAAAAAGGAGGTATATGCAATCCTACGAGCGGGAGGAGCTTTTATCGTGGAGCTACAAGGTCAAAAGACTTGATGACTCATTAGTTCTCTTCATATTCGACTTTTCCCCGAAACAATCAACTTACAATCACTCGGAAAAATAACCTCATATGAACGGAGGCGACAGAGTTGAACCAATTACACATCCCAGCATCACTAAGGAACACCGATCCTCCATCTACGGACATACTTGTCGATCCTCAGGCAACTATTGATTTCTTCATCAGCAACAAACCAGGCACTTGAACTCTTACCGAAAACATCACACTTTCGATCACTCCAGCAGCTCGAGGAACACCACCAATTGTGCAGGATGTCACTCCCTTTTCTCCATAAAAGATTTATGTTAGTTTCATTCCAGATCATCTTTCTCAAACTTTTAACAAAAGTTTACCTTTCAAAGCTTGTAGAGCCCACACAAACTCCATTTCCCATCCAATCGATCTGTGAACTCACTTAACTGCAGCAAGTGTGTACTCACTTGTTATACAGCTGAATTAGGCACATCAGGATTGAACTGCACCAGCCTGTGGCAGGGGTCAATAGGACCTTTATTTCTGACCAGCTTTTAACCATCAGCTCGAGAACAATGGCCATTGGTTGATCCAGTGGAAATACTCTAGAGCAAGGCACCACATCAATGCATGGTGAAGCTTGACTAGCCACCAAGTCCTCAGTCCATGCAGGAGGCCAAACCCGTTCATTGGGCCTCCCCACCACCCATGACACGTAGCATGAAGATCAGTGGCTGAGTCATAAATGACAGGCGCTTTGGCCATCTCCAATTTGATGTATGTTTAAGATGTTGCTTATAGAATTAACTTTGTGCCACTTCCTCCATGAATAGGTGCTGTCTCCCTTGATTTCAACAACCCAAGTACTGTCTTTCAATAGTCGAATGGATATTGTATAACATTGCATGGGCCCAACGAGGGATCTCCCGTTTTTGGAGACAAGTCAATCACACACTCTCAATACATGGTAAAAAGTCTTTGTTGAGGTACGCAAAAAGGGTCACATTGGCATTCGCCACTCATTTTTCTCGTTGCAACTAAAGTACAACCTATACTTCATTTTCCTTTGTGGTGTGTCGCCGAACCGTGAATGAGCTTAGCTCGGGTAGCCCAACCCTCATCGATTTCAGCATCGTCCAATTAGTTATTTGATATATATCATCAATAGTTTTTTATAACTAATTTATTTAAATTAATTTATTATAATTTTTAGTTTGATTACTTTATAATTAATTTTCAATTTGACAAGTCTCGTGATGGCCCATTCCACGTGACTATTCGTTTAGTATCAAATGGGCATTCCTGTCTTCTCCACCAAACGAGGGATTGGGAAATTAGAAATGGAATAGGCGTCCCATCACAGGCGATTCCCTTCTACCAAACGTGCCATTATAGTTTCTACGCGGTGACAACTCAAAACCACAAGAAAGTCATTATCCAAGGACAATTTTCCCTCAATTCATCCTCTCAAGCAGCTTAAAGGAGGTAATTCTACAACTCGGAATTAACTAACCCCCCCAAGAAAAATAGAAGGTAGTCGATAAGCAGATCATCAAGTCTGTCTTAAAATCCTGGCCATGAGTATCTTGGTAAGCAAAATGAAATTGTTGAACCCTAGGTAGCTGACGAGCTATTTGGGGAACTTGAACATGTCTGGATCACAACCCAAATAGTGGAAAGGGAACTTGTGCTGAGATGAAGCTCTGGCATCGGCCACGACTTGCACTTGGGAGGGTGGATAGGATTTAGGCAGCGACTGGCATGGATCAGCCTGCTGCAGCGGCAGGCACTGCTGGTGCTGCTGCTGGTGAGACGTGGCCGCAAGAAGTTTGTCCAAGAAGGACCAATCTCCTCCGCCGCCACTGGAACTGCTGCAATTGGAAGTTGCGGTGAGCCTCAGCATCTCCTGCACATCTCCAAAGGAGGAGGAGGCGACCTCTGGGCTCAACAGCTGCGGGAGGTGCATGGAGCACTCCATGTTGTAATTGTTGCTCAGGAGGGATTGTAGTTGTAGATGATGATGATGATGGCGATGTTGCTTGGGCTCCACTTGTGATGTTATACAGAAACCCCCACCACCACCTGACTTCATGCACTGACTGATGTGGTCATGTGACTCCTGATGATGATCTTGACGTTCTTGACACATTTCTGCTTGGAACCCAACTCTATGGTTCTTTTTCTTGAACACCCTGCATACCACCCACCCATCCTCCTGCAAAGAGATCGACATTGAATATTTATAGCTACTTTTTTCAAGTCACCCGACGGCAGTTCCTCAGTTCGCATCCAATTAATTTCCTTTTGTCATGTAAACACATAAATCCAACTCCACTAGCTAGCTGCTGGACTAATATATAATTTAACTTGTCTATGTATGGATATATACCTGGAGGTCTGGGGCAGATTCTTCTTCAAGCCGATACTCATGCATGATCCAGTCGGTCTTCTGGCCATGAGGAGCTCGTCCAATGTAGAAGACTAGGGTCTTCCTCATCCCTATCCTCTTTGAGGTGCTCAGGTGGATGGCCTTGTCCCTCCCTGTTGCCTTCCAAAATCCGGCTGCTGTTGCCCGATTTGTCCGAGTTCCGGTCGGATATTTCTTGTCCTTGTGGCTGAAGAAGTACCACTCGTTTTGAGGACCCGTTCCAATCTTGCACTTGTCTGCATTAGTTTACAACATGCAGTCCTCATCAAATACATTGCTAATATAAGTCGGTGCCACTGTGCCAGTAATCAAAATTTTGACTTGTACAGCATCCATTCGGATGTATATTTCGCCAAAAGGCAAGGAGATATAATGCCACAATAGTACATAATTAATATGATCTGGTGCAGATTAAATTATGAAAAATACGAGAGATACCGAAACTTATATATGAAATCAATTTACAAAGTGAATGAAGCAGGATACTGATCTCCACCATTGCTCTTCAGTTTTATTCCACTGTCCTCTCTTTCTTTGATGCAATAGAGGTCTTCCACGCAGTCAAGCCAATTCATGCGTTTTTTTTTTTTTGGTGAGTTACGTAACTGGAACTTTTCTATACATGGCTAATGCAGGTTCAATTCATTCTGTCTTCTGGAAACTAATAACATGGATCTCATTATGTTCCAAAGTGAGATTTATGTAATCTGCGGAAAGATAAATCGCTGTGGCCCCCTCTTTGATTCAAGTTGATGTGTTAGCAGATATTGTCAGTTTTCTTTACCTTGGTTCATAGATACTGAGTTATGCCAATATTAAAGCATGGAATGAAAAGTGCGAGGCACAAGGAATTATATAGAAGGAACGTATGAAGCAAGTGGGCATAATGACCTTTAAGATCCCAAGGTTCGAGCTTGTTGAGATCAATCTCTCTAATAACGTCGAGATCGATGGCTTCATAAGACATCTTCTTCCTCAGATAGTAATAGAG